TTCCGCGGGGCAACTATCAGCCGATAGTTCCTCAAAAGAAACACTCTATTGTTTTTAAACTAGTGTGCCGTAGCTGAAACCGTCCACATAATGGCAATGTTTTCTGGTTTTTCTAATGTTTCCAGGAAGATTTAGAAATATTACTGTTATTAATTCTCAACAATACTAAACAAAGGAAATTGACCATTATGTAACATTAAAGCCTCAAAATATATCAATGAACTGGTGGCTCAGTTTGCCTTTTTGTGATTACAGATAATACTTGAAAGATGTTTCGTTTCTCTTGTTGATCACTTGATGAATGTGCCTTTTCTTGCACTGTTGCTAATTTTGCACCCAAATTTACTGGGGAAAGACTTTCTGCAGTCTTCTAAGTCAATTTTTCAGGTATTTTATCCTACTGATTTGGAATATACTAAAACATTGTGGCGAGGATTATGAGCAGTAAATAAAGTTGATATGAATTAATGTAAATACCAGTAGTGGCTTGAGACGTTGCAGGAAGTTGCTGCCATGGTCCTACTGTTTTGTCTTTCTTCAGTGATGATTCACCTGTATAACAACATCTTAAATGTCTATCACTAGTAACCCACCCAGCTCTGAGCAGCTCCTGTGTAGATGTATTTTAACAATATTATATTTATCCATACAGCCCATCCTTGTTATCCTAAATAAATACCACTGCATTGTTACATGAAAACTCAAACTTTTAGTATGAAGTTTTGAGTGTGATTGCTTTGATTGAAGTTGTATTGTGAAGTTAAAATGGCAGTGGTATTTTAAGAATGAGGCACACTTTTGTGGTTTCACAGTTGTTTGAACCTTGAATTGGTGATGAAATGTCAGGTTAATGCTGTTCCTATGTTTTTACTTTCATCTATAGTGGGCAAATTTAGTATATAAATTAAAAAAAACATTTTAAATTTTATCATGATGACAATATTTTAGCAGGGTGGGGGACACTTCATCATAGATACATCAAAATTATGCTCTAGGTAAATGAAATCAGGATAAAAGCAGAGAGAGAAAAAGATTTAAAATATTACATTGTATTCATCATGGTGGCAGCACCTTACAACACTGTAAAAGATTTTGTAAAATCCTTGATAATTCAAAAGGGATGAAAAGGCAATATGTATGTGGCATGAATTCACTGTAAACCCCAATACTCTAACATAAATTGAGACGAATCAGGGAAGGCTTTGCCTTATAATTCTAACTTCCACAAATTTGGACAATTTCATTGTTATCACAAGATTTCAAAAATGTGTTGATCAACTTTATCCCAAATTTGAATTAGACAACTGGTCAGTGGACTAGAGCAGTTGTTATATCATGGCAATGGTCATGTGTGCAGTAACAGGGGATATTTTATGGCCGTGCAGGCCTATGAAATTTGTCTGTGAGTGTTGAAAAATATTTCATGAGTGAGTGCAGCCAGCAAGTGAAATATTTTTCAACAGGAGAAGATAAATTTTGTATCTCTAAATGGCCATGTAATGCTCTATTTATTATAATAAGCACCGATGAAATACAGAACCATGTCACTTTCGCTGAGAAAGGCTGGATTTATTATGTAACCATGATCATTTTTACTTGTGAAGATGACAGTCATGTTATTCTCATCTGTGAAGGCATTATGCTTAATTCACATGAAGCCTAACCTTGTATTTCATTGGTGTTCATATAATAAAATTTTATCTTTTGGTTTAATTCACACATTTCGTTACCTTCAATATCTTCATCTTCTTGTTCATTGCCCTCAGATCCTTCGCCTTCAGCATTTTCTCTTTAAAACAAAGTAATTATTACAGTTCTCAGTGAACAACTTAAAAAAGTCTTGTGGAACCAATCCCTGATGAAGAGATTGAAAGGAAATTATCATGTACACCATGAAGCTGAACAAGCACATTTCCACATATACAGAAGAAATAAAAAACTACTATAGTTTTTGAGGAAATATTGGTCTACAATCAGTTCATAGACAAGAGGTGATAATACGTACAATGTAAAATATACCAAAAAAGATACGTCACTATGCTTGTTCACAAGAAAATGAAAGTATCATAGTTTGAACCTCCCTTAAGCGGTATCAAAAAATCTACTTCCTCTTCTTGATAATTTTCCCTTTTTGTATCATTCAAATACATTCAGTTTATTATCATTTACAGAAATTTGAAGGAAAATCATGCATTTGCAATACAAACATAAAACAGAGAAGTATGGTTGTAAATTTAACCATACAATACTTACAATTCTACCAATACATACACTGATTACACTACCAACACTGAGTCAGGTATGGGAAGCAGGAGAGCAGGGTACAGGAAGTGGGAGGTTCTAACTGCCCTGCCATTAGAAGATTGTCACAGGTAGCCCTGTAAGTAACTATTACAAGTCACATGACTGATGGTGCAATGACTATCTACACAGTTGAGTTGTCAGAACTGTGTATCTCATAGCCCTGTGATAAAACATTTTTAAACACCATGTTTTACTGATGAATCATGAGGTCATGGTATTCTGATTATTAAATAATTTCTAGTTCTTTCAAAGTATGTTCTGAAAGTTTTGCACAGCTTTTGAAACTTTCTTCCAAATGATTAATCTTTGCCGACCCCCCACCCCGTTAGCAAGAGTTAGCTTTAGTATAAACAACTTTTTTTTCATACTTGATTAAATCCCACAGGTCTCATTTGTGCTTTACTGCATAGAAATCATCTAAAAAAAATTAATACTCTGCATGCAATAGTTATTGCTCCCGCTGGGTTTTGGCCCACAGGCCAAAACCTGAGGAGGAGGTTCCCTAGGATTCCCCTGGTGTATATACATACAAGAAATTTCAAAAAAGTAAGAAATGTGTTTGTAGTATGCAAGGCGTTCCCGATGATTTGATGAAACTAGGCATTTACAGTGGTCTCGGGTAATATTTTAGCAAGTGGGCAAGGTGGTATTGAGTACATGTAATTCTTGCAACCACAAGGTCACGTTTCACCATCTTCCAGCAGCATTTCAAGGTTCTTGCAACCATGAGGTCGTGTTTCACCATCTTCTAGCAGCATTTCAAAGTTCTTGCAACCATGAGTTAGCATTTCGCCATCTTTGAGCAGCATTTCAAGGTCTTCCAACCACGAGTTCATGTTTCACCATCTTCGAGCAGCATTTCAAGGTCAAAAATACACTCCAATTACAGTATGGCCTGCGTGACGATTTTAGTGTGATCAAATAAATTCACTTCAAAAGGCTGAGATTCTGATCTAGAACATATTGAAAATGATTTCAAAGGTCCTGAAGATGGATTTCGGGATAAAAACAACTCAGAAGGTATCGTGAGAAATTCTGAAGTACACTAGAAATTCGAGGCCTGTGTGGTTCAGTTGCAACTAAATAGCTAAATACCCTTCCGATTGCCAGTTTTACCTTTGGCATCTTGTTTACTCGGATTGCTTCAACTGAGTTAATGCTTACAATCAATCAAGTTTGATAAAATGAGTCCCAGTGTGAGTCCAAGAATACTTGTATGTAATAACTTACACAATCTGTAATGACTGTATCCTTAGTCCTGAGTAATCCTTTTCAGTTGGCTCCTGAAAGTCAATCCATTCTTCATCATTCTGCAACCACAAAGAAAATACTCTAACTTATGACTTAATGTACATTAGGGACCCACCAACCAGAAACAGTTAACAGCTATTTATAATGATAAATATTCATCAAATATTTTTCAATCGCAAGCAATTGGTCTGAATGTGTCAAGGGACTGAATATGCCCCCGCTAAAACTTGGGAATATCTGAGTGAAATACCTCAATTTTCAATTGGCACAAAAAGTATGCTCGCTCTTCAGAATAATAATATCTGCACACAAATATCCCAGCATATTTTTGCACCAAAAGGAGGCTATTGTTTAAATTATAATTAATAAGTGTAAAATATTTATGTGTACTAGGCAGTCAAAACAACAACAAAGACAAGTCTACAATAGTAGCATGTGTTGCTTATGAAGTACTGTACTATCAATACAGAAATCAAGATCATATAAAATTATTGTCCAATTTATAGAAAACAAAGTTTGCTATCCCATGCAACCATGACCAAATAGCTTTTCAAAAAGGACCTTATCACAATTCAGAATTGGTGGAAAACCTCTCAAGAGTCCTTCATGGTCAAACATGACAGAAGTTCGTTATACCACATTCTCAACTTCAAAAGAAAAGAACTGACATTAAAGTTATTTTGGGAAAACATATTTCCAGGACTAGCACCGAGCAACATTCACAATAAATTTGGGAAATCTTCAGAGCATCTGCAGATCTCTTTGGATATTGTAGGATCAACTTCAAAAATCTTAGCACTTCTCAGATAAAAATCTCACGGCTTTGACTTGATTAAAGACCCTAATAGCTTAATTGTTGTGTAGTATAAAATGTTATCAGGTGTCTCCCCACTTTGTTACCCAAGTCACTTTTTTCAATGTTGCACACTTCTAGAAGGGTGAGCTAGCTAGCTGGCCACTCTGCTTCAATATAAACAGGCAAATATATTTGAGATGCTCTTATCACAAATATCATGTTTATCTTTGTCCTTCTTTGACAGAGACCACAGGTTTCCTTAGCAGTGGTTTTGGATGGAAAATCTCAAACAAAAGTTAACACAAGGACAAATCTCAGATACTGAGGGCTGATTAGAATTTCAGTTTTTAACCCTGCGCAATGGCTTCTGAAGGGCTGCATGGAACTAGCACAGTCTCTCCTTTTGCTGCGTTCAAACACAACACAAAGCCATTCATGGCCACTTTTTTTTGCAACAATGTTACATAAGAACAGTTTTCCCTCTAGAAGTCTTCTCACTTCACCATGATTTCAAGGTAACTTTTTCCCCTATGGTGTAAAATTCCCCATCCCAATTATTCCAACCACAGACACCGAATTCCCATCCCCAGGGCACATCAACTAATCTAATGGCCGAGGTATGCCTGGGGAGATTTGATTAATACATTACTTCTACTCATAAGCTTATTGGAAACCAGTAAAGTTTATATGAGTTACATAATCCATTTTCCGGTAAGGAAAAAATACAGTAATAAAGTAAGCTTAATTTAAACATGTGTAAGATATGAGACTTGGGAATATTCGACTTGCTACAAAAAGAAAAATTCAACACGTGACACGATCAGTGGAAGAATGACGGCCTACTTTATTTGATCAACCATTGAAACGGTTTATGTTCTTACCGGTTTCGACGGTATCGGTGTCACACCTGAAGTCTTTTTACTTGGTTGGTCTTTAGATCGACTATCAGACTCCTTCTGACTAACTCCTGACCCAACTTGCTTCGTAATAGCATCACTGGTAGTGAATTTGCTTTTCCCTTTAACCTTCTTCCCTTTCGACTTTTTCGCAAAAAAATCCTCTAATGATTTGTCATTGTCAGACATATCTTCTCTACACGAAAAAGACGCAGGCAAAGCGCCGGGAAAAGGGAACTGCAACCGAAATTCCAGAAACTAATATAAATTCTTTTGATTTTCTTCGAACTCTTTGGTGACGCATGTGCTCGAAATACCTCGTTCCATTCCCTCGCGGACACTTCAAACATGGCGGCCGCCAAGCAGGAAACTGTGGGAAAGAAAAGAGGTTGTATTTTTTGTAAAATTGCAGCCAAGGAGCAAGGAACTCCCATAATTTATGAAGATGAGAAGATTTCAGTGTTTTCAGATCATCGCCCAGCTGCAAAGCACCATTATTTAGTGATTCCCAAGGAACATTATGGTAATCCTAAGACACTGACTGAAGATCATGTCCACTTGGTTGAACGTTTGCAAGAAGTTGGAAAGAGTGTGATTGGCGATTCTGAAGAAGCTGACCCTGAAGATGTATTGTATGGCTATCACTGGCCACCATTTAACTCCATACAGCATCTCCATCTTCATGTTATTGCACCCCGTACACAGATGGGTTTCTTTGCTCGGCAAATCTTCAAACCGAATAGCTTTTGGTTTGTTTCTCACGAGTGGCTGTTGGAACATTTGAAGAAAAGTCCATCCACATCTTCCTGATAGAATCTTGCAGAAGTATGTCTCACTTGACTAGACAGGAGTCACCAGCATGCCATGTAACATCCCCAGGGGACCCCTTACAAAAACAACACTTGTGTTCGTCAGAAATTTTGAAAAGAACCCCTAAGAGGTGCCAAGACCCTGTTTTGGCATGATGAGCACCCTGTCCTTTTTGTATGAGTTCTCCCCCCCCCCAGCATCCTGGGGTAATATTTCTCCAGACAAACTGAGACTTGGAAAGAACATACACTTGTACTGAGTGCATGGCAGGGTGCTTAATATCAAATATGCTGATCATTTGAAATGAATTGCGGTAGTTTCACCCAAAAGCCAGTTCATCTGACTGTTCATATGAACATTAATGTAGAAAAGATGATTGACTTTTTAGCGTATGGGTTACATAACAACCAGAGTTTGCTGACTTTCCACAACATTAATGACAGCATTTTTAGGATACAAATGTAAGTTTTAGTTTGACCTTGTCTAACACTTCTGAAAACCCTTTATTCTGTCATACTTCGTCTGGTTTGTTTCCTGATGGAGTTTGATCCTGATTGGCTCTTATATTTTAACATGCTCCAAGCTTGTGGTCTGGCTGCAGTTTTATTTACCAGTTCTAGGCTTCTCTCTTCGCTTCTTTACAAACCTGGCAGCCATTAGCGCTGTACAGTGAAACCCTGCCTTATGGTCACCTTGTTATTACGGACACTATTTTTGTGCCGGCGCAACACCCAAACATGTTCTTATAAGAAAACCTGTCAATGCAGCCACCTTGTTAATACGGCCAACAGCCACATCCCACATTCTGAAATCCAAACCCAGATAATCCTTTGTAATCTTACTCTGTTTATACAGCCACTTAAACCAGTTACGTTCATCTTTCCATCGTTGATATTGTATGTAATGATTGAAGATTCAATATTTTAGAAAATTATATCTGTGTTCCAGATGTTTATAAAAGAACAGTTGTTTAGAAGTGCAATTCTGATATATTTGTTTAAGGTTAGATCAGTCATGAAATTTGACCCTATCCTGTTAATACGGTCAAATTTTCATGGCCCTTTGGTGACCGTATTTATGGAGTTCCACTATAATTACTTTTTACCGACTGCCATAGCAGTAGGCGTGGCGGTGGCGGTGGAAGCAGCTGTATCGGTAGCACTAGTGGTAGTCGTTGTGGTAGTAGTGATGGTGGTGGTAGTAATGTGACAGAACTGCACTACATGCAGTTCAAAAAGAACTCCTTGCAGAGGTCTAAAAACGTTTGTGCCTTGTATTCGATTTTTGTTGCATGAAATCTGTACCAGAGCAAAAGCTGTAAAAAAAAGCTCTTTCAGGGGGGTCCTTCTTAACTACCGATTGATCATGAATTTGTTGCTAAGAAAGGTTTCCAACCGTTATATTTTGAAAACCAGACCAAAGGATGAGCTGTTTGCACAGATTAGTTCCATTGAAGACTCCTGCAAGATTTGCAAATCACGGCCATATTTGACCAGCCCCATGACCAGAATAGAAAAACCCTAAAAGTTTATAAAAGCCATCTAAATCCGAAAATTTAACTCAGTGTCAATAGATTAAGTTTGAAATTTAGTAGGGGCGGAATCAAGGATTTCGAAACAATCCGCAGAGCAAGATTGACGACAACGTTCTAAGCTTTGCAAGTGTTTGAAGACGTGTGAGGACTTGTCTGAAGAGAGATGTTCACAGACGCGTGTGGAAAAATGACGACCAGTTTCGCCGATATAGCAAGCATTTTAGCAAGCACAAGTAAATTTGTAAATCACGCGTGAACGAAGTTCTTTAAGGACGGAATCATTCACTGAGAAAGGATTTCTTAATTTAACGTGGTAAACACTAATTTGATGTCAAGATCATTACAATAACGATTGTTAAGGCGGCGTATTTTGCTTTGAGCTACAGTAGAAAAACGGCCTAAATAAGGTAACTTACAAAAGTATCGTTTACCCTGTGAAGTAGTATTGGAGGAAGGAGGTGTTTGAGTGGAGCCATAACGATCAATGGTTGTGTTCAAATGTCGGTAGATATTGACATTTAACTCTTGGACGCCTTGTGTGCCTATGTTTAACTGACGTCATCATTTCACCGGAAGATTAAGTCGACATGTCCACCCGAGGCCGCCAATTTTTTCCTTACCGATGCGCGCTCATGTAGACCGGAACTAACCTATTTCACGGGAAAAGAAGCCTAAAAATAGACCGGTCCGTAAAAATGCCGTGACATAGGCTTAGTATGGGAGCTGCATGCTCCTAGTGATGGGCACCTGTCCTATACGAATAAACTCTGCCAAGATCGGTTATCTCGCACACCGTATTTGAAGTGGCCGCCACTTCTAGTACGATTTAGTGTAATATCACGAATGTCGTTCTCTTATTGGCTGTACTGTTCTATGGCATGAGATAGAGCTAATTCCATCATATTTCACCGCGAAATCGAGCGTCTGATTGTTGCCTTATGGTATTTTACAAATAGACTAATGTTATTGTACAAAAAGAACCTGAGGCTAATTATGAATAATCCACTCGGTACCCACCTATACCTATATCTCTCCATGCCATAAGGCGTATAACCATTGTGGCTCCTGGAATAACCCAAGGCTTAATTTGAGACTCTCTTTCCACCTATTTCGACTTGCTGCTTGAGCTAGGCTGGAGCCGTCACAGTCGCCCATGGCTGCCACCCAACTGCACATGTGTTGGGTGGCAGCCAACTAACTTCCTCAGTAACTCTCCTCCACTTGGTTTGGGTCGACCTGGTCTTCTCCTCCCCCCCCCCACTGGCCAGCCTCCACTAGCTCCAATGCTGTAACGCAGTGTTCTTCTCTGACGTTCCTCATTGTATGTCCAATCCATGACTGGCTCTGTTCGCTCCTGTGATCTCCTGATGGTTTGGGGCCACGTTATTCTTAGTGTGCGCTTCATACATTTATATTGGAAAGCATCTAGTTTCTTTGCTTCTGTTAAGATTCAGTCGGTGCATATATAGAATCCATCCATAGCGGGAATCACAGTGATTAAAGAGGGCCACTTTGCTGTAAAAGTAGTTCTAAATTCCACAAAACATGAGGTGGTTGCTCTATGAAATTCAATTTCTTTTTTTTTTTTGTATGCTCGGTGTAATTAGGTCTTTCTTTTTGTTTTTGTGACTTTTCATATTGTTAATTGTTTTGGAATTAAATCGAAACCTGTTGTTTTACACTGAAGTTGGTATGAAGACATGATTGATCATCGCAGTTATAAGTTGTGAAATTAAGCCTGAAAAAAATTCAGTCTTTAACGTTAAGGCCTGAATTTCTTTTCAGGCTTTAATTTCACAACTGCTTTAGCTGTGTGTATAACTGCAATGATCAATCATTTCTTCATCTCTTTCTCCGCAGTTCAAATATATGATATTTCATATATTCACTTGTACTGAAGTTGGTGTTAATTAGGTGGCTGAAACAAATTTAGCCGAGCGTAATGTTTTTCATTTAAGTTATAAGCATTAGAAGCTTTTACTGGAGTTCATAATTTCTATAAAGAGGAAGATTGCTCATTCCAAATCACGGCTAAAAACTGGCGCATGCTACATCATTCAAGAAACTACTGATCTGAGGTGAGGCCATAGATAATTGTATAACGTTTTGCACCGTCCCGTCAGATCATTGCATAAAGCCGCATTTCTCGGCGTGCTGAACCGGCGTATCTCTAATTCTAGGAACCATATCCCGAGACCAGGTTGCGACAGGCAACTCGTAAAAAGGTATTACAAAGTATAAACAGCTTGTTTAATGTTAGAATTTATTAGCTGAAAAATAGTAAGTCTCAGGTCGAATTTAGTTTTCCGTCTTAGGCAAAGATAACAGTCTCAGGGTTAACCTAGTGAGTTAAAACTTATCTTGAAACCTATCTTGAAAGCGTCGATAGATTCTCCGTAAGTCAATGTCCTCTTCACCTACAAACACATGACATAGTGCTATCGGTTTCAGGGCATCCAGCACAACGAAAAAGAAAACACTTTTGCTCAAAGAACTAAGGTCCAGACCAAAATGACAGACATCTTTTAACGCGTACTTCATATGGATAGCAGGCTTTTGCTCCAGAGATTCAACGCTGACAAATCGCTGGTCGAATACAATTTTAACTTCACGCATGCACTGTAGATGGATAGACTTAAACGTGGAAATAACTTTACGAACAAAACGCAATCGAACGTCAGGAACTTCTAAGCAGGTTGTGAAGATACCGATGAAGTTAAAATGCTCACTTTGTTCATAGTAATCATTAAAAGAGTTCCGTCGGCTAAACATGACTTGAATGGATTTTCGCTTTGCATACTTCTTTCGCCTTTCTTGAACTTCTTTGTCGTGTAAACTCTCAAGTACTCTGGTTACCCGAGAAAGAGACATCCAATAAGTTTACTCAGTTTAACTCCCCTAACTTGAGTTCACCACTTGCTGCACACTCGTACTCTGAAAACAAATCAATTAAGGTTAAATTTTTAATTAAGCAAACGTCATAAACAGTGCGTAAATCGATTTAATTAAAAGCTGGCGTAGCTAGTTGATAATTAAATTTTCGAGGTGTTATTCTCTGAGTTATTTCCGCAGTGCAAGCCCCGGGCTGGACACATGTTGCATTGAATGAACTCGAGCGTCTTGGAGAAAATAGAGGGTCTGGCTGAAGAAGAAACGCTAATCTATCTCAAACAGCCATCTCAAGGGCCACGGGTCAATAGCCCATGAGGCGAAGCCCGGCTACAGGTCTGATTGTTAATTAGTGTGCAGTGGCTGGAGGTCGTCCAGTCGTCTACGAAATGACGACGTTTCTTTCGTTTTTCTAAAGTTTTGGAGGATTATTTTGATTCAAATAAATAATTAAATTTCTTAAAGATTATAAGAAGGACATTTACGGTTTCAGGACTTTAAAAAAACTTGAAACTGAAAAAATGATGTACACGCACATAACTAACACATAAACTTTACATAACAATTCAGTCCGAGCGATCTTTCTCAGGCACGAAGTTTAAGGTGACTCCTGAGTACTTAAAGCTGTCTAACGATTTTTTTTTTTTTGAAACTTTCTCAGAATGTTCCCTTCCAAGTACATTGTTTTGAAAAGAAATATGATGGGCCAATCTTACCCCTAAATGTTACATTTAGGGAGGTCTTTTAAAGATATACTTAATAAAAAAAAACTTGATAGGAAGAAGTTCTCGAGTATATGGAACAATATTATATATAACTAATGGTATATTCACAAAATTTTAAGCGACATCGACTCAAAAGGTTTCTGGAGTCGATGTTGTCAAGGCCATAATTTGCATCCTCGACTAACGGATTTGAGCACGCTTTTAGCTATAACACTTTTTCCTTCCAAACAATTTTTTTGAAAAAAATTCTTAACTTAAAGAGGATAATTTGTACACCAAAATTATGTTATATAAAATCTAGGTCAACATGCTCGTTTAAGGTGGCTGAACACAGTTTTTGATACCTGTATTTCATTCACCTTTTTCTCTAAAACCCTTCATCCCTTGGTCGCCAAAGATGGCAGCAAGCAAGTTAAAAACACAAACTTTGGTTTTTTGATGGTTACTCTGACGTATGTGCCGTTGTCATGGCAACATGAATAAATATAAACAGGCCTNAAATAAGGAAAATAGCAGCTGCACTGTAGTCTTTTCTATTTGCAGTTTGATAGCCGTGGCAAGCAATTTGGTTCCAATATTTTAACAAGGATTCAGCTCTCTGTCAAAATCAAACTTAAAAGCTTATTTGTGTTCGACACAAGTATTGACTGCAGTTTGAGGCGTGTTTTCATGACTCTGGGCTCACAAAGATTTTACAATAACTTGGAATGCGTTCTTGTAATAAGCATTAAGGTGGCTGAACACAGTTTTTGATACCTGTGTTTCATTCACTTTTTTCTCTAAAACCATGATCCCTCGGTCGCCAAAACTGGCAGCAAGCAAGTTAACAACACAAACTTTGGGTTTTTGATGGTTAAGCTGACGTATGTGCCGTTGTCATGGCAACATGAATAAATATAAACAGGCCTTTAAAATCGGTTTTGTTTATTTGTAGAAAATCTAGTCATCAGATTTTCTTTATAATTTGCATTCAACGAGCTTGTAACGATTCTCACAAGTTAACACCATTTTGCTAATAATTTAACAGAGAGATATTTAATTATCCCTTGTTGAGTTTTCACTGGAACATCTAGAATTTCCTTTGTTAAAGTTCAATTATTTTCAATACTCCAGTTACTTATTTCCTTAAGTATTTTCGTGCCAAATTTCGTGAAATTCTAA